ATTCGGAGTTTAATGGTGATTAAGAAGACACAGCAGTTCCGGAAACTCATTCTGATCGTTCTGATAAGAAAAGAACTCCCGAATTTGTTGGTCAGTTACTCAGACTTAAAACAGCGGTTTACATCAAGTGCTTTGGGGAGGTAGTGCTGCCTTGAGTCAGAAGGGTGTCTTATGGCAACAGGACTCTGCACCATGACACACAAGCAGGAAAACCGTGGCATGGCTTTCAGACAATGTCTTACATCTGGCCACCTAATTCTCCAGGCTGCAACTCCCTTGATTATTATGTGTTGGGCGCAGTTGAGTGAGAGACCAAGATGAACTGAAAGCAAGGATTATGGCAACATTCACTAATTTAAATAAGGGGACCTTCTAGAATTTAGACGACAATTTATCCATCGCACCACGCATTTATTTTTCAGAGCGTGCACGTTGGTACCGAATGCGACACAAGGTCAAGTTTTAAAGTGACTTTAACGGCAATGCAGTGGAAAAAATTGGCCAAGCCCACTCGGCATTTCATCTTTTGGGGAGGAAGAAACGAAAAAAATCGTTAGAAGCAAAGAAATGACTGCTTAATGCTATGTGATTTCTTTTTTAGTGTGGTTGACAAGGAAAGACATGAACTAGTAGATATTGTAATAAAGAAAAGTGAGAAGAAAGTAAAAATTGTCAACTGTAAAGACACTGAATATTTGGTCATTATGAGCATCCGTAGATTCTGTCTATGAATTGGAGAAGACAGAATCAAGCAAGTAGAGAAATTTAATTATATGTTATAATAACAGACAACGGAAATATGACGCAGAAATCCGAAGCGGCAATGAAATAGTGAAAACTGCCTTCTAAAAGCTAAGCAAAGTAATAAGAAAAAAATTCGTTTAAAAAAAAGAAAAGTGTGGTGAACTGTTGTGTAATATCAATCACCTTATATTGCAGTGAATACGAGAGATTTCAAAAGAGGATTTGAAAAGAAAATGTAGTAAAAGAAAATTAGAAGAAAGGAGTAACCATTATTTTTAAAACAAAATGTATGGTTGCCAATAGGAGGAAAAGCCCAAGATGAGAAATAGGAAATGATGAACTCAAGCCAGCACACAAATTTATCTCTCTGTAAAGTATTCTAACAGAGGACGGGAAATATGACACCGAAATCCAAAGACATATTGAACAAGCGAAAAATAACTAAACAAAGTATTAAGAAACAGATATAACAAGGTGACTTGTTATTGGCAGATATCGTAGTTTTTAAATTTCAAGGCGATGATTTGGAATGGATTGGCGTGTGCTATTCTGATCAATTTTCCCAGTCAGGAATATTTGTTGAGAGGCCAGGTGTGGGCATGTGTTTTTGATTCCGTTTCTGATGTTAGATGAATATGTTTTGATTTTGGAGTAATAGCTCTGAATGAAATGGAGTAAAATCAAAACATAGGATTTGGTCTTTTAACCGGAATTTTAAACAATGGGAAATTTAGTTATTTTGGCGCGTGAACAGTTTGATAAGTGAGAAGAGATTTATTTATAAATTCAGCTCAATTTTGAGGATATAGCGGAGACGAGCCGGAATGATAGAGACAGACGATTCGCCAGATGCCCAGGAGGTTGCACACCTGCACGAGGAAGAGGCTCAATATTCACTAGAATTTCTTTTGCAACTTGCTGAATACATAGATCGAGATTCCAAGTCACTGCCTTCTGAGCTTTTTGTGATAATAGATGCCAAATATATTCGATCGTAAATTATTTTATTCACCTGCATTAAGTCATCTATATTTAACCAAAACTGGCATTATTATTTCTTCGCTGTGTGCTTGTGCTTACTTACAGTCAGCCCAGTCGTCAAGTTTATCGCAGCTTCTGACTAGAGGATGAAAGACAACATTCTTTGTCAGTAAGAATCACAACACTTGAAGAACCAAAACTGGACGATCGATGATTTATACTGGCACCAATCCCTAAACCAGTTTGGAAGCTGTATAACTCTTCTTATCCAATATCCGTGCGAAGATTAAGATATCAGAACAAGCTGGGTCCAAACTGAGCGACTGCACGTCAACAGAAAGCGTGACTAGACCAACGGGACTTAGGGGAAGACGCGTACGGAAATAGAGGCTGGGTTTATACAGTAACCTTTCGTTAAAAAAACAGGAAAGTGTACTAATCGGTCAACTGTAATACCAGTCCTCCTCTATGCTAGTGAATGTTGAACAATGTCCTCACAGATGAAGAAAAGAGTTGAGGTAACAGAAATGTGGTTCTATGGATAGATGCTGAGAATACCATGGACTGAACATGTGAGTAACGAGGAAGTTTTAATAAAAGTAAGACGGAAAAAGGACACTTAGAAAGAAAGAGTTAATATTTTTAGGAAGCATAAAACGGAAAGTGTTCTTGGAGAATGTGACACTCAAAAGATATATTGAAGGCAAATCACACAAAGGAAAACAAATAATCTATCTACAGAGCAAATAGACGCAGAACAGTGACTGAGAGAGATAGTAAGGTGATAAATATTACTTAGAACTACAAAGGATTGGAAGCTGTGGAGAGGCATAATCACCCCTGCCGTGAAAGTAGACATCATATAATAGAAATTAATATTAAATATAAATAAAGAATATAAAAAGTAAATAAAAACAAAACTGTGTAAACAATTCGCGCGGTTGAAACGTAACTTTAATGGTAATTAACCACTAAAAAGATCATTCAGCATCTGCCTATATTTCTGTGATGAGATATTGTAATTATTTACATTATTTATATTGTCCGGATTGTTGTCGTCTTTATGGCGCCATATTCAAGGACACATGGCGCCAGGGGATAAAAGCGTTGGTTGAGTGATTCAAAAATTGACTTCACCAAAAGAGTTGTGAGTTCAATTCTTGGCCACAGCAGACGAAAAAAAAAAAAAAAAACTTGTCAAGTTCGTTGACCAAGGGTAATTAACTGAAACTGAGATATCCAAAAAAGGCATGGCATGTGGAATTAGAACAATATAGCCCCAGGGACTAAATAAAGGGTTTGGTTCAAAATTCCAGGTAAAATCACCTGAAGAAGGCTGAAGAGAACAACTATTGAAACGTCGTGAATATGGCAATAAATATGAGGACAGCAGTTCGAACAATAATAATTTTTTTATTTTAAAACGAACCCCCGTACACTTGATTTACTGAAATCTCTATACAGCTTTTTAAATATCATTTTTATATGTTTTACGCCATTATTTTTTTACTGTGCTTTGTCGTTTCATACTTAATCTAGAGTAATCTTTCATCATGTTTTCGTTGACCCCGAATAATGTCAAGCACCTTTTGGTCTGAAGAATTTGACTCCTAGATAAATCTATAAGGTGCTTCACCATAATCTATATCCAGTTGAATAAGCAGTGTTTTTCTATTTGTTTTTTCATGCATACGATAATGTTTTCATATCTGTGTATCAAAGCCGTAGGCGTGAAGATCATGTTATGTACGAATCAGATCGAATCTTTTTGAACATGAGTATCTACTGTCCTTCCATCATTGAACACTAATTACTGACCAATCACAGACCCGCCGATTTATTGATGTTTGATTTGAAGTAAGAAAAGTAAAAAACATCGAACACGCTGGCGAATTCGAACGGCCTAGTTATTTGCGCTCTTTTTAATTAAGAAAGCAAAGAGAACGTTTAATTAAATCTGATCAACATTACCAAAAGGATTTTCTAATTCAAACACATACAAACATACGTTTATATATATATATATATATATTACTTGAAAGATTATTTTCAGTGGATACCAGTATTTAGGTAGAGGGTCAGTTCATTTTAATCATATTTGTTTGTGTCTGCTCAAATACGCGTAATCACTGAAATTAGTATTTGAAGTAATAAAATTGACAGATTAAAAAAATCCATGAATTCTCTCTCTCCCCTTTTTCTCTCTTGCTCTTTTTTCTCTCTACCCCCTCTCTCTCTCTCTCTCTCTCTCTCTCTCTCTATATATATATATATATATATATATATATATATATACAGGGTGTTCATAAAGTTCGTGTGCACTTTAAAAAAATTATAACTTTATTTGTATTTGCAATATAAATAATTTGTAAAAAGGATTAGAAAGAAGTAAATCTATATTTTTTAAAGGTTTTATTGAAATTTTATTTAAGTTTCCACATGTCCTCTATCATTAGCAATACAAAGGGTAATACGATTTTGCAGTTCACGGAAAACATTTGCCAACTGATTTACATTAATGCCTGAAATCACATTAGTTATTTTAGCTATACTTAAAACTAGGTACATTAAACTTTATAACATTTTTTACAGATTATTTCTATCGCAAATACAAATGAAATTATAAGTTTTTGAAAGTGCACATGAACTTTATGGACACCGTGTATATATAATATTTATTAACAAGTATAACAAAAACATGTTACACAAATGCAAATCCTGTTTCAGCACTATAAGTGCTTCTTTAAATGGTGGAGATCAACTGGAGAATAAACGATCACTTTATGGATTAAAAGCGCCAACACCGTCGCAGGAAGTAGAGAAAGAGTAAAAATTAAATTCTAAAATGCTTGGGAGTGACCTCGATTAACCAATCAGATGTCGGACCTGGATTCCTATTGACTGTAGGAGTTATTTAAATCAAACTTAGATGTTAAGTGTCAATCTTATAGTATTCTTTTTCTCAAAAACTTCGTCTTTGCTCACATTTAATTCCTGGTATTCTTAGCATCCTTTTGTAGAAAAACTTTTCTGCTGCTTCAAGTCCCATCTTCATCTGTGAGGTGATTGTCCAGCATTCTCTGCCATATAGGAAGACTGATATTACATAACAGTTCAGTACTCTTTTCTTTGCTTCTAACGAAATTTTCCTGTTTCATAATACTTCACTTAGCTTTTGGAATGCATATTATGCTAACATAATGGGACTTCCAATTTCAATGTTTGTAATTTACATGTTGTGTTGTTTCATTTTCTAACAACAATCGATTCCGTGTTTACGGCCATATCACATTGAAACACCGGTTCTTCTCGGACGATCACCGAAGTTAAGCAACGTCGAGCCTGGTCATTACGTAGATGGGTGACCGCTTGGGAATACCAGGTGATGTAAGCTTGGATGTGCTGGTTGTATGTTTTAAAGACATATCACATTGAAACATCGGTCAATGATGTTAAGCAAATTCTAACATGGTCAGTACCTGGATTGGTAACCGCTTGGGAATACCAGATGCTTGGATGTGCGGGTGGTGTAATGGATAAAAACTCGGAATTGGTAATCGGTGAGCTGAGTTCCATTTTCCGTCGGGTCCGTTATATTCGCTTAGGCGGAAATACCCTTAGGAATGGTATGAAAACAACTTTTGTGACCATATCTATGGGTTAATTAGTCGAATATTGTTGTGGTACGATCCACCTAATTTACATAGTGGAGTACCGACCATATAAATATGGGTTGGTACCGGGAAGACGGGGGAGGAAGAAGAGATCCAATCCAGAGACTCTGCCCGACTGCGACTAAGTCAACCCATTCTACAGGAACGGTCTTCCCAAGAATATACCAAATTATCTGTAAATATTGTGTACACGTTCTTGTGTCAATACATTTTGTTTAAGTACATTTTGTGTTGTATTATTATTATTCCATATCTTTATTCAAGTTTCAACAAATATGTATCAGCAAATCCTTATTATCTCCTCCAAATTCTCAGAATCTAAGAATTTTTCTGTCTTTAAACAATCTGCAAAAGGTTGATAAACCATAAAATAGTATTTCGTTCAATTGATGTTTACTTCTTCCTTCTCGTTTTCCTTCGTTATCTTTTATAGGTGTTCTTGTAGTTTATTTTCCGTGGCTGCTGTCAACACCGTGTCATCCAATTATCTTATGTTGGTAAGACTGTGGCCGCCAATAAAAGCAATAAAAATAAGATGACCAAAATCTCAGTAAAAAATAAAAAGAATTAACGAGGCTTTATCTACTAAAATGAAAAGAGGTTATTTATCCTTGGACAAGAAAGATGCATAACAGAAAGAAATACATAAAATTATCATAATAATTCAGTGTTTCATTTATGTGCAGTAAAATTCACTAAATAAGAAAAATAAGAATATATTTGTCAGTAGTCAAAGAACGCATACTTTTCCTAGATTATTCTCGTGTCAGAATTTACAAGTATGTTTGTACCCTTTAACTAAAGAAAGAATGAAAGATTAAAACGAAAATAGGAAGGTTTGGTTTGGTTTGGTTTGGTGTGTTTTACATCATATCAACCTCAATGGGCTATTTAATGCCGACAACTTTTTTTCCTGGTAATATTTTGTTTTGTCAAAATCTATTTCTGGTAATAATTTTTTTTCTTCAAAAACGTATTACTGTTAATATTTTTTTTTTTCAAAAATTTATTGCTGGTAATATTTTCTTTCAAAAATATATTGCTGGTAAAATTTTTTTTTCTTCAAAAATGTATTTCTGGTAATAATTTTTTACAAATATTTCTGGTATTAAGACCTATTTTTACACCTTTTTGTACTTTTATAATGCTTTTTACCTCAGTTTCGGGGTTAACTATTTGCCCATATATCGGACCCTAACAGGTGCTACCACCCCGGGTCAGGGTGGACCTGGGAACACCAGCAATTAAGAAGTGGTTCCACGCTCCTCAATACCTCCTGAACAGGGGCCTGGCTGTTGGATGTTGTTTATCGTCTTACACAGGACGCGGATGTAGTTTATTGTCATACCCAGGACGAGGAAAATAGGAAGGAGAAAAACTGTGTCTGTTTGGTAAACATAACAACAGTAGTTTTATTCTATTTAGTAAATTGTGCCTCAGTTAATGAAATTCTCTGTCCGAGAAAGAGCAACGCCAAAAAAATAGTGTTCTTAGGCATGACAGACAAGTGATTGTAGTTTGCAAAAGTCGTTTAACAACGGATGAATGTCTTATTCACTGTGTCAGATTCTAGAATTAATTATCAAATAACATTTATTTGCCGAAATACATTTATGCGTCTGTGCATCAATGTGGATGAATGGGCGTGGTTTCATTAAAATCGGCCGGGACTTTTTATATGAACAAATATGGCGCCCATTACAATAATTACTCGTTTAAACATACCGTCAAAAATGTTGGCAGATTAGGATAAATGTCTATTATTAATAAAATCAGTGAAGCAATTGGCAATTAATCCATCTTGAGAATGATTACTTTTAGATAGATTAACCTGTTGTCCGATTAACATAGAACTCCCCGATCATCCAACAGGAGTAAGTGTTTTATCTCTCGTTTTCTAGGATTTTATTTCCGATTCCTTCTATAATTTTTCATTCTGTTTCACTGCCAGTAGTCCCTTATATCACCCTGGTCTTTATTGATTAAAAAATATCTCGAAGGTTTTTGACTAAGTGTGTCATAGGGGTTTGCTATACAATTTCTCCAACTATGGCATTCCAGTTTTCTCAATTATCAAGTCCTTCCTATAAGGTTGATCTATGAAGATTCTTTTCAAGGCCATCATCTTCATCGCCTTCGTATTCCATTAGTAAGGAAGAAGTTCCTCGCAGGTATCTCTGTTCCCAGAACTATTATACTGTGGAACATGCTCGAGAAAGGAGGCTTCGCTGATCACTACAATCTTAATGTCTACGATGAACCTGATTATCTATTCTACATATCCTCACAAGATGCACCTCTTACTTCGTGTACACTTTTGAAACAACGTTAATAAGTAACCGTCCAGCTCGAGGTCCCCTTGGGATTTGTATTGAATAAAGAACAATATGTTTACTCATGTTAGTTTTAGTTTGGTTTGGTTTGGTTTGTTTTACGGTATATCAACCTAAATGGGTTATTTAATAATAGAAATCATGACATCTTTAGATGATTTCGGCATTGACAAAATTACAGAAATAATAAATGAAATACAATATACTGTAATAAACTTTATGTGAAAATTATAAAATTGCTGGTAATAATTTTTTCAAAATGTATATATATTTTCTTCAACAACATATTGCTGGTAAATTATTGCTGGTAATAATTTATTCTTCAATAATGTATTGCTCGTAATAATATTTTTTCAACAATGTATTGCTGGTAAAGTATTGCTGGTAATAATTTTCTTCGAAAATTTATTGCTGGTAATAATTTTTACCAAAATGTATTGCTGGTATTAAAACCTATTTTTAACTATCATGGTGTTTTGACCCCAGTTTGAGAGTTCACTATTTGCCTATAACTGGGACACGAAGAGGTGTTTTTTTTTTTTTCAAAATGTATTGCAGGTAATGTTTGTTTTTTTTCACAAAAATTTACTGCTGGTAATATTAAAAAAAATTCTATTGTTGGTAATAATGTATTGTTGGTAATCATTTTTTCCTTCAAAATCCATTGCTAGTAAAAAAAAAAATTAACAAAATGTATTGCTGGTATTAAAACCTATTTTAAACTTTCATAGTGTTTTGAATCCAGTTTGCAGTGGGGATCAACTATTTACCCATAGATGGGACCCTAACGGGTCAGGGGTGGACCTGAGAGCAACAACAATTAAGAGGTGGTTCTATGCTCTTTAAAAACCTCCTGATCAGAGGCCTTTCTGTTGAAATGTTAGTTTTAAATATATATTTTTGGATTATTGTAGAAATACTGCGAAAATGATTTATTATTTTATAACGATAGAAAATGGAGCCTCGATTTAATAACGCTTGGTTATTTTGTCCGATGTTAGAAAGAAGGTCATGACTTAACCTTTTCGGCACTCTTTCGCAGAAACATCCTTGTCGTTCTCCACTTTCTATTTTCCTATGTCAAGTTAATTTGTTGTATAACTATATACAGCAATGTTGGTTATCAATAAAATTATCGATTGTTTGCAGCTAGGAAAGTTGATTTACTCTATTGCTAATTCTGTTTTCTCGCTAGAATCCAACTTACACGGTCATAGATCTACCGTACGTCCGTGCATTGAACATTGCTGCCACTTCTGGGGCGCCTGCTATACAGAGTGCGATGGTTAAATTGTCACCATTTGTATTTTTAAATTCGCGCATGCGCGTTGTTTGATTTTGATTTTGTCGATTGCACAGTATCGTAAGGCCAGTTGGGCACCGTCTGTGCGAAAAGAGCAGCATTACGTAATTCACTCCACCAGAAATTTAGAAACAGCATGTTATACTGTTTGGCATTCACACCGGAAGTTCAGTACGAAGGTTTTTCATTTAGGAAGTTTTTACGAAGACATATTCCATTGCGCCTTGAGATTTCGGGGTCGCATTTTACATACTCATTTAAAATACTCACTAGGTATTTCAATATTTGTACTTGCTTGATTTTGGCATCGGTTTTAACTCAAATGGTGGAGTTTTCTTTATTCTGACAACCATACATTTTGCATTATTAAAATTGATGTTCATATCACTTTTCTGCTTGCACCCTGCGCAAATTAATTGAAACGGCGGCTTTGGTTTTCTTTCTTTCACCATACGGTCAGTATTAGACCCACTGCCGTGACAGGGTGTGATCGATTTCTATTTTTTTCCTCAGATTAGTTCATTGACAGTGGTGTGCAGTAATATGAATCTATTTTTGGGGTGCATGATGAAATTTGTTTGGACTTGAAAAATACTGCGTCATCCGTGATTGCATCAGATTTTTATCACGCCCAGACACTATTGTCTCCACTGTCTATTAGTTGTCCTACGGACATTGTCTGCGATGAACGTTATTCCAAGGAATGGTACGAAAATTGTAAGGCTGCACAAACAAACTGGAAAGCCTTACCAGTGAGCAAATCACAGTACTAAACTGACCCGCAAACTCTCCTGATTTAAATCTATTCGAGAATCTGTGGTCAATCTGCAAGGAACGAGATCGTGGAATGAACATACGAAGTACTAACGTGTGCATCGGGTCATGTTTTATTGGAAAAATACGAAAATAGTAAATAATAACGGAATTATTGGTTTTGTTTCAATTAATTGGCACAAGAGTGTATCTTTCTGATGTGAGCAAAGTCATGATATAATAGCAATGTAAATGTAATAACAGGCAGTCTAGGAGGACTACAAAATATTAATGACTTTTAAATAACTCAGTTTAAAGATATATGAACA